GAGAACATCTTTCGTTGCTCGAGTTAGTGACGAAACATGTTTTCGTCGCGGGAGTCCTTTAGCGACTTCGTTCCAGTAACTGAGCTGGTGACAAATATTTTTTCGTCACTGAACACCTTCAACGATAACAATCTCGCTTTAGTGACGAAAACATTTCATTGCTGAAGCCAAATTTTCTTGTAGTGTATATATCATGCTCCTCCCTTAGAGGTCTAAGGTTCAATCCCTCATCGACGCACACTCTCGTTCTCGAGATTACTGTCCTCTTACTCTTACTATCCCACATACCATTTGCTCCGAATTTGAGTTCTAACTTAAGCATCAGAGTGCATTCGAGTTGAAACTTCTTAGGATTAGCAGTGAAAGAAAGAGCTCGCCAGAGATTGACTTATTGCTTCCTATCGACCTCTGTAGTTATATATATAACTTATACTGATGTACTCACATAAGTTCTAGTTCCAACTAATATATTTAGTATGAAAACTACGTCAATGTATATATTATTTATAATTGATATATCTTATATATAATATATCAATTGATAAATTGGTAATTTTTAGAATGATTATATAGTTTTCAGAAACAATGCTAAAAACTGTTATAATAACCCTTTTATTAATTGATTCGTGGTACTTGAAATATATGAAAGATATGTTCCTAATATGAAGAATATTATTTCATTTTCCTAATGAATCTTATCGAATTTGTAGTAATTATCACAATTTAAATTCGTGATCAAATAAAAATCTTTTAGGTCGAACTCTTGCTATATTTCCTTCAATTTTAAAGGTCAATATTCATATTCTTGACTGGTTTGTGTATTTTTCAATATTTGAGGGTTTAAATTTGACAACGCTTCATAAGTTTAAGGTGGTGTGATAAGTCTTGATTAAAAGCTAAAAATAATAGGTTTTCATGTTGGAGGTTATTTAGGATGGAAAGTATATGTTCATGCATATAATTTAGGGATAATGTGCATATTTTGTGATTAAGAACTTGGGCATTTAGTTATAGGTAAATGAGGGCTAATTGGATTTGGCTTTTTAATCCTTGTGTTTTAAATTCATGTTCCCAACAATTTCACCAATTTTTATCCCAAATCTGGTTGCTCATTCAAGCAATTTACAAATTAAATTTTCAAAGAAAATTAATCCCTGTGGAGATGAACTTGGAGTATTTCCATATTATTACTTGTGACAGTGTGCAATTGTACTTACTACTCTCGAGCTATTAAGCAGAGGCGCAATATGGTGATTGATCATTGATCAAGCTGAAAGTTCAAAGATATGATTGTAACAATTTGTATGATTAAGGAGTGGTGATATAAGAGATGCTAGATTTACAAAGTTATAAGGTTGTTGTAGGATATTCTTTGCAAACATTCACAAATATGGCTAACATTAATGAATGACTCCAACCAAGAGCTTAGTTAGAAGGATGGATAACTTTTAGACAAAACTTAGAATCTATGATGGTTATTCCTAGATCCCAAGATACGACTCACTTTATAATTAGCTTGATTGAGACTGATCCAATGAATCGATTAAACTTCAAACCTAAATTGATATTTGAAAAGAAAATAACACCAAAGGGAGTTTAAGAAACAAAATTTTGTGGTTAATTTTAGAGCGTTACAAGCATTTAAAAAGGCCAAATAGAGGTTCAAAATACCAAAGACAGAAGTCTTAAAAATTCAAATAGGAGCTTGGCTCAACGGTCATTAACATATGTCTTTGACTAAGAGGTTCTGAAGTTCGAATCTCCCACCCTCACTTGTTGTACTCGAAAAAATAAA